CCCTGAACAGGACGGCCGGACGATTCCCTGATGACGCAATAGAGGCGGAAAAGTAGTTAAACTTTGCCGTCTTTATCGCCACTAGGTAGGTCTTAATATGCGACCTTACCAGTGTTCGGTCAGATTCAGCAAGACTGGCCCTCCAACCGCTCTCTAGGTGTCTTTTCCGGCGTTTCATCTCCCTCAGCTCCTCGGTGAACCAAGGAGCCGCGAGGGATCGACCCCGGGTCAGAGGCCGCAAAGGCACGACTCGATCCAAGGCCCCACCAGCCGCCCGATCCCAGGCAGCTACCAGGTCCTCGGCCAAGTCGTGTGCCAGATCTTCAGGAATTGGCCCAAGCTCCGTCTGGAACCTATCAGGATCCATCAGGCGCCTGGGGCGGATCCATCTAATTGGGTCCGCCTCCCTGCGGCGGGGTGTAGCGGTTCGAAGGTCCAGATGAAGGAGTGAGTGATCTGACCATGACAAGGGTTTCATGTCTATATCCCCTATAATAAGACCACTCAACCACTGGCCAGAGACAAAAATCAGGTCCAGCGTGTGTCCCCCCCCTGTGAGTGGGGCCATGAACTGACTGGGTCAGGTCCATGGCCGTCATGGAAGCCATGAACTCCCGAGCCATCTCCGACGTTTCACCAACGGACGGCAGATTGAAATCACCCATGACCATAAGCCTGGGTGTATCAACTGCCACCGTGGCTATCACGTCGAGTAGCTTGGGCAGGGCCGTTGCCACGTGGCAGGGAGCCAGGTACGTAAGCAGCAAGCCCATCTGAACCCCATGACCCCATCTCACAAAGAGGGACTCACATCCAGCAATCTGTGGCACAGTGGTCTCCCTCGGACCCAGACCTTCATTAATAATGACCGCCACCCCCCCCTCCCCTCCCCTGGGCCCTCGGCTGATGGAATGCTCTAAAGCCTGGTGGGCACATCTCAACCAGAGGGACCCCTCCCTCTGGGCCCAACCAGGTCTCCGTAATACCTGCCAGGTCCACTCCCCCCTCTTGAATAAGATCGTAAATGAGGGGGGCCTTATTTACCACGGACCTGGCGTTGCACAGCATCAGCCGGAGGCCCAGGTCCTGAGTATCTGAGCCGCCTAGTATCCGAGGGGAGCCTTGAGGACCGGGGCGCGCAATCACTCTCAAGTAGCGAGTGCGCACCCCCGGCACAAGATAAGGTCCTCTGCTCCCGCCATATCTGCCCCTCCCATCCACCGTGCTGATGATATCCCCAATCCCTCGTCCTGCGCCCTCCAAACCGTTACCCTGTGCCGGGCTGGGCCCTGACCTAGGTGGATTACCCCCCCCCCATCCCCTTTGGTCGCCCTCCCAGTTCCCCTTAAAAGATTATTAAAAACCCTAATTAAAAAACCCCTCAATCCCCACTTTAAAACATGCCACCTCTCGGGGCTCCAAAGCCCGTCCTTAAGGTAGGCCTTCGATAGAGTGGAAGGCCATCGCCGCGAGAGGGGGACATCTCGCAGCGCGAGCAAATCTGCCGAGGTATAAGCGATACAAGTATGATGAGATGGAAAAGGGGAACCTTGGATGTCAGCGATATTTAAAGATAGTCATTGAGGTGAGAGATGGCAAAAGAGGCTGGCCAGGATGAAGCTGGGGCCCCTTCACTCTCTCACAGTGATGGGGCGACCAGATCAGATGGTTGCAGTGCAGGCAGATGGCCACAGCCGTTCTCTCACCGCGGCTGGATGTAAAAGGCCAACAATAGTCACTCTCTCCCTGCAGATGGAGCAGCAGTCCTTGACCTGGACTCTCAGCTTCTCCCTCCAGCCTGCAATCTCTCCTCCCCCGAGCCAAGGCCTAAAGGTGGAAATCGGGCGGCAGGAATAAACTAGCCAGCAGCAGAATGAGATAGAGAACAAACAAAAATCCAGGAGGGTGATAATAAAGTCCCAGAGTCAGTAGTGATGGAAAAATGGGCCGACCTAATAGAGAGTCCAGGTAGCAAGGGGGGGAGGCCATTTTCATAGGGGGGGGGGCGAATTCAAGGGGGAAACCAGATGGTAATTGGCAATCCCCCTCTATCACTCCCCAACTCCCTTCGATGTTCCGGGCCAAATCACCCCCAATAATCCTGCCCGTTTTCTCTGAGCAAATTCTGCCACGATCTTCCCAGGTCTCGGTCCATGTGGGGGGTTTTCAGGTGCAGCTGACCACTGGACCATACACCCCAAGCCTCAAATCTGGGCTACATAACTGTTTGAAGCGGCCAACAGGCCTCCGAGCCTCCGGGTGCTGGGTCCATTGCCCTCCGCTTCCCGCACCCCCCCCTCCCCTGGCAGCCCAGCTTTTTTCCGGCCACCGTCAAATCGAAGGGAGGCTTGGGTCACTATAGATGATTCCCTCGGCTCCCTCAGTTCTCCATCCGTCCATGTTTCCCCAAAAATAAGCCTGGGTCTTATATTTTTGGGCCACCAAAAAAGGCACCAGGTCTTATTTTTGGGGAGGTCTTATTTTCCTCGCCCCCCCCAATGTACTGGGAGGTGGGGGTCTTGCCTCTTTGCCTAATGGTCTTACCAGCAACTTGGTTCACAAAACAGCTGATTTGCAGGTGCCATTCCGGCCATCGCCTCCAAGATGTGCGCCCGCTTTTGCAGTTGATTGTGGCTGCAAGAGCAGCAGGAGGCCCCACATGCCTTGCACCTCCTTCAAAAATGGTCTTACCAGCAACTTGGTCAGGAGTCCAAGTGAGGCAACCTCCTGACAAGCTAAGTCAAAGTCAAAGCCATATTCACTTAACAACCATGTTACTGGTAATTACAGCCTTTGGCGTCTGCCTCACCTGCAGTGGCTTTGCAGCCACCTCACCTTCCGCCCGGCCCAGCCCACAACCAATCCCCCGGCTTCTACCCATCAGCTTCCACTACCTCCCACTGGAGCTACCCCACGCACAGTCAAAATGAGCACTGCCAGCCTGCTAGGGCCCCATTGTGAGTGGCCACCAGTGGAGCCATGCCACCTGTACCACCTTATCCACCATTGCCTTTGGCCTGCTGAGCACCAGTCTGCACGCCTACTTAGTGCTGCAGGCGCCGGGGCACAGCTACACTCCTTGACTCTCTTTCTAGATGTGTGTGGGGGTGGTGGGGGGCGGCAGCGGGTGAGGAGGCATGGTTCCACTGGTGGCCACTCACAATGGGCCCTGACAAGGAGGGAGCCTTCACCCTGGCTGACTGTTGTTTGTGAAAGCTGAGATGAACACCCGGGGGGGCGGGGGCGGGAGAAGGGAATGAGAAAGAATGGACTTTTCTTGGCACAAAGCTTCAAAGAAAACAAAATCAAGCCGTGGTGGAGGGGATGATTTTCCTCTGAGTATGTTAGTAAAGGTTAACATTTCAGAAATGTTACCTGCGGAGGTCTCCTGGTGCAATGCTCTGCCGCAACTTTAGAGCAAACCTCCACCTTCCCTGCATAGGATTGGAGGCTGGAGGCTTTGCCTTGCTCCAATTGGCAGGAAAATCCCCCCCCATTTCCCTGCAGATCATCCTATCCTTGGGGAGCCCTGCACAGATGCATATCCCAAAAATCCTCCCTTCGAAGCTTTTAGTCTTGCAATCCTGCACAGGGAAAAAGGAGGTTTGCTCCAAAGCTGCGGCAGAGCATTGCACTCCGTGGGATTTGGGCCGAGTTGCCCCATGCCAGCAGGGGGGCCAGGAGGGCGAAGAGCCCCCATGGGGCCAGCAGCAGCAGGTGCAGCAGGCCTAGCAGCTAGACAGAGGTGGGGGGAGGGGATCCAATTTCTATGCACCACATGGCTTTCTGCCTCATAGCAGCAGCCTGAGCAAGACCAGAGTTCCAGGCCTGGTGGAGCGCAAACCATGGTCGCCGCCTGCCCCAGAGCCACAAGGTAAGCTGCAGAAGAGAGGGACCCTCAGCTGTGAGGTTGCTTGGCGCTGTGGGCAGGGCTGGAGCTGGCAAAAGTGTGCTGGAAACACCTCCAGGCACCCGGAGAGACAGAATGAGAGGCAGCTCAGCTGATCCATGGCCACAATTAAGGGGTCGAGCCTCCATGAGCTGACTGGGGAAGGAAAGGCTGCCTTGTGTGCCACGCCCACCCACTTCACAAGGGCTTATTTTGGGGGTAGGGCTTCCCCATAAATCAGGCTAGGGCTTATTTTTGGGGTGGGTTGTCTTTGGGGAAACACGGTAGCATAGGATTGGATTATTGATGGGCTGCTACTCCCCAGTTTCATCCACCTGATCTAATAGGATGTTATGGCTTCCATTGTCTGGGAAGCTACATTTAATAGGCGCTAGGCAGCAGATCTTTTCTGGTGTCCCTGTGCTCCATCCTGAGGCGAGGATTCTATGCCAGCAGGCCTGGGGACACCAAGAGATGGGTGAACTAGCGAAGTGGCTCCACTATTTCTTTGTGTGTTATTCTTGCTTTAGTGGTTGTTGTAGTCCTTTGATGACTTTAATATTTGTTGATGATAATTCTTTTAGATACTTATTCTTTTAGTTCTGTTGTATTGATGCCCAGAATCAATTGCTTCTGATTGGCTATACAAATTAGAGGAATAAACATTGGGGTTTTTTTCAATATATTGGTTTGCTTTCACAACCCCCTCTAAAATAATGTACCCTGTTTCCCCAAAAATAAGACATTCCCTGATAATAAGCCCAATCAGGCTTTTGAGCGCATGTGCTAAAATAAGGCTCCCCCCGAAAATAAGCCCTTCCCAAAAATATTTAAACGCAAGAGCTGGAAATCAGGTAAGATGTCAGGAGGAGCCCCATCTTGTTCCACACGCCTCAAAATAATAAGACCTCCCTGAAAATAAGGCCAAGAGCTTATTTTGGGGTTCAAAAAAATATAAGACAGGATCGTATTTTCAGGAAAACATGGTAATTGGCTTGTCCTTAGAACAAGAAGAATACAGAAAATTCACTTCAAACAACTTGGGAAAGATTCTCTTGTCTTCCTTCAAGTTTTAAAAATATTTTCTCTGCCTCTCTTTTCTGATTTTCAGGATTTCCTAAGGCAATTAAGACACGGGAAAAGCTTTCTGAATATCTTACCATAGTGATATTTACAAGTTCAGCACAACATGCAGCTGTAAATTTTGGTCAAGTAAGTTTATTTAGATGTAATCATATGGGTTATAAACTTTTAAAATTGACAAAAATATCAAATGTAAAAAAAATGGAAGAAAATATTTTCCTTCTGCAGAAAACACAGGAAAGACAGAATAGAATGGATTTCAAATGGCACATTAAAATTAACAAATTAATTAGTCACATGTGTCAGAAGAAAAGCAAGAAATAGCGAAAGGAGAGGTAAGAAATAAAATTATCTTTTGATCAGAGACGGGCAATTTGCACACTACCTGCACTCCTCAGGATACAATCTGTCCCTGAAACTGGACACAGCTAAATTTTTCAGACTTGTTACTCTGTATATTCACAAATATTAAGAGGCAAAGGACTGATAAAATCTATGGCACCTGTTAATAGAAGGGACCTTAGTGAACCAGGAGACATAATACCATTCCAGACAAGTGGCTGTCTAGTCGCTTCTTAAAAGCCTCCAGTGATTGAGCACCCACAATTGAAGGCAAGCCATTCCATTGTTCTCATTGTTAGGAAATTTTTGTCCTTAGTTCTAGGTTGCTTCTCTTCTTGATTAGTTTCAATCTATTGCTTCTTGTCTTGCCTTTGTGTGGTTTGAAAAATATGTTGATCCCATCTTCTTTGTGGCAGGCCCTCAAATGTTTGAACACTGCTATCATGTCATCCCTAGTCCTTTTCAATAGACAGTGATGGCTAACCTTTTTGCTATCATGTGCCAAAAGTGGGGGGAGCACGGGAAACGCGCCAGAGGTGGGTTTCAGCAGGTTCTGACCAGTTCTGGAGAACCGGTAGTGGAAATTTTGAGTAGTTTGGAGAACTGATAATAAAAATTCTGACTGGCCCCACCCCCATCTATTCTCTGCCTCCTAAGTCCCAGCTGATCGGGAGGAAATGGGGATTTTGCAGTATCCTTCCCCTGCTGCGCCCACTAAGCCATACCCACAGAACCGGTTGTAAAAAAATTTGAAACCCACCACTGGAAAGCGCACATACGTGCCCACACCCCATAATTCAATGCACCCTGACCCCCCATGCATGCACGTCTGACCCACCCATGCTCCCCCTTTTGGCACGCGATGGTGGGTAGGCCACCGATGGTAGGCCACTGATGGTAGGCCATTTTTTGCCCTCCCCAAGCGCCAGAGGCTTTCTTTGAGCCCGGGGAGGGCGAAAACAGCCTTCCCCTCTGCCACCAGAGATCCTCCGGAGGCCGGAAATGACCCATTTCCCGACTTCCGGTGGGACCAGAAGGCCCGTTTTTCACTCTCCCTAGCCTCCAGAGGCTTTCTAGGAGCCTGGGGAGGGGGAAAACAGCCTCCTGACTTCCGGTGGGCCCAGAAGGCCCAAAAATCAGCTGGCTGCTCGCATGCCCACAGAGATAGCTCCATGTGCCTTTATCAGTTTATTAATTTCCTGTTCCATTTTATTCTTTCCGGGTTGATATTATTCCAGTTTTGAGTCGCATTAAGGTCCTTCTTTTTTAATCATCAAAGTCTATCCTCATATAGGCAAAACATATCATCCTTGGTTCTCGCCAGTTATCATTTTAAAAGTTCAGGGGTTTTTTTTTCTCGCTTCTTCAAAGGTTTTCTCAAAACAGACAATTCCTTGTCATGCTCTTCTTTCTCCTACAGATGTCTCTCTATATCCACCATTCCACTCAGCTAATTAATGGTAATAAAATCACCATTTTATTTGTAATCCACATCCGTTTTTACTGAGTCAAAAAAGAGAAAAAGCCAGTTTTTCAATTCTTCTTTCACCTTTATATACCACCACTCAGTTTGTAATCCAATCCAAATTAAATCCAAGTTCCAAATTTACATTTCCATTTATCAATCACTTTTAATTCTTTAGTCGGTTTCTTCTATGGCGCGCTTGTCATTCCCACTTTCTCTCTCCATCCGCCATCTCCCCCCGTCACTATTTAGCCGCTATTTCCATGCCAGGGAAATTTTAGTAGTTTAAAGTATTTAGAATTTTCTTTTTATTGTCTATGGGTTGGCCAATCACTCACCCAACACCAACACTCTGTCCAAATCTTCCCTCCTGCACATCGCTTGCTCCAGAGGCTCCAGCTTCATGGTAATTCACCCTGATCGCTGCCCCCCGTCACTGGCTTGGAGAGTTTCTCGGGCTATCCAAGGGACTTGCCTGTCTCTCTTTAGATACTGAGCTGCCTCTCCATCTTCACTGTCCCTACAGGACAGTTTCGGTCCGAAGACCCCCCCCCGGTGTCAGTTTGTCTGGCTGGATTTCGCCAAGCTTGTCAGAGCCCAGCATTTTCCCAGCCAGTCACGCCGTGGCGCTTCCGGATTCTCTCTCTCTTATGTGTTTGGAAATAAAGGAAATGATTATTAATTTGCATGGAAAATTGAAATTTGAAGATGTAGAGACTGAGCTAGAATGCACTGAAGATGAAAAGGAAATGACTAAATAATAGGTAATAAAGGACAAAATAAAAGATTTTATGATTTTAAAATATAAAATAAGTATACTGGGATTAACAATGAAAAGACACAAAAAAGGAAAGAGAAAGGAGAAACAATGGGAAATATAGGGCAGAATAGGAGAGTGTAGAATTCTAAAATAAAAAAGAAAGAAAGAAGAAGGAAAAAGAAAAGGAAAAGAAAGAAAAGAGGGTGGAAGAGAAGAAAAAATATTAAAAATATAAATGATTACACTGGGATTTACAGTGAAAATATAAGAAAGAGGGAAAAGGGATGGAAAACAATGGGAAATAAAGGGCAAAGATTTCATGATTTTAAAACATAAAATCATGTTGGGATTAACAATGAAAAGATATGAAAAAGGAAAGGAAAAGCAGAAACAATGGGAAATATAGGGCAGAAAAGGAGAAAGACAGAAAGAAATAAAAATATATTCAGAACTGTAAAATTTAATAGGTAAGTTTAATGTCAGAAAAAAAGATAAAACAGTAACATTAATTAATTGATTTTTAAAATAAGGGGAGTATTGAGCTGTATGAAATAAAGGGAATAAGACTTATACTCTATATTTTAAGTTTTAAATATGCTCTACTGAAAAGAGAATGCAATAAATGTCATATGCTTAATAATATTGGAGGTCTATAGAATGATAGGTTTTAATAATATGAATAAACTTGTTGGGTTGAAATGCAATAATTGGAATATTTCAAATTATATATCTGAAACATAATCAAAAAGGGAAAAGAAGGCAAATTAAGAATATTTTAAGAACTAATTGGATTGGTAAAATGAGAAATGATTAAGATGCGCTTTATAAATATATATCTGAATAAGTGGAAATATATTGTTAAGATATTTTGAGAAATATATTCAATAATTGAAATTGAATGTAAAACTGAATGAAATTGAAATGATAAAAATGATTTAAATGTTATCCTTGCAAGAAGTAAAGTAGAAAAAAATAAATTGGTAAAAGTAAAAAGACAAAGGATTAGAAGATTGTTTGAGTAAAGATTTGAAGGAAAAAAGGGAACAAGATGAAATATACTATTAATAATTAAAAGGAAAAGGGATCAAGGCTGCATGGACTCCACAGTGGAAAATATTAAATTGAAAATGAATACAGCAATAGAGAGAGATGAAGGAGGAGAAGAGAGGTGGAAGGGAAGAAGAAGGAGAGAGAGGGATGGAAGAGTAGGGAGGAAGGAAGGAAAGGGAAATTAGAGTAGGAGAGAAGGTAAGACAGGGGGAAGAGAGGAGGAGAAGGAGACGGGAAGGGGAAGTAGAGAAGAGAAGAAGAGGATCGGGAAAGAAAGTAGGAAGGGATAGGGAAGAGGGAGAGAGATTTCTGTACAATAAAAAAGATGAAGTGGAAGAAAGGCAATGTCGAACAAACAAATATAAATATATTAAGATAAAGAATGTTTTAAGAGTAAAAGAGAATAAATATGAATAAACAGTAAAGTTAGAATTTAGGGATAAATGAAGATGGTGTTTATGTATGCAAGTATAGAAATATTGAGATATGTTTAAAAAAGAAAAGAAAAGGGGGGAAGACGATTTTGGCAAAAATTGTAATTGAGTAAAATGTATTTGAAATTGATTAATTGTATAAGATAAGAAACGGTCAACAACTGTTCAAAAAAAAAGATGTGGGTGAATGTAAATCAAGTAAATCAAAATGTAAATTTATATGTGCGGCATATAAATCAAATTAAAAAAAATGTGGGAGAGGAGAAAAAAACAATAAAATTTGTTTTTTTAAAAAAAGATATAGCTCCATGTGCCACCTGTGGCACACATGCCAAAGGTTCGCCATCGCAGGACTAGACATATCAATTCTTCATATGTTTTAGCCTCCAGCCCTCTAATCATCTTTGTGGATCTTTTCTGCACTCTTTCCAGAGTCTCAACTTTTTAAAAAAAATATTGTGGTGACCAAAACTGGATGCAGCATTTCAAGAGTGGTCTTACCAAGGCCTTATAAATGTCAGTAATACTTCAGTGATTAAATCTGAACTGGTTTGCTACCGGTTTGCTGGCCACACATGTGCTATTTAAAAAGCTACTGTCGAACCAGTAGTTTAAAAAAGCTATGATCCAACAATCATATGTGTCACACGGTTTAGCTTTGCTAGAAAGCAGGATTTCCTGCTTTCTAGCAAAGCTAAACTGCGCGCCACAGCTGACCCCCCCCTCGCTGTTCTACTTACCTTCCCAAGCCTCCTTTTGGTCTATACTGCGCAGTAGTTTTTATTGCTACTGGTTTGCCTGAACCAGAGCGAACCGGTAGCATTTCACCCCTGCTTCACATGATCTTGATTTCATCCCTCTTGCTACTGCAGCCTAGGATTGCATTGGCTTTTTTGACTGCTGTCACAGACTGCTGGTTCATATTTAAGTGATTATCCACTGGGACTTCAAGATCCCTCTCATAGTTACTGCTATTGAGCCAGATTTCACTTAATCTGTACCTGTACATTGTTTTTTCTTGCCAGTGTAAAACCTTACTTTTCTCTACATTGAATTTCATTTTGTTAGATAGGTCCAG